GATATAATGCCATCTCCAGAGGCAGACACTTCAGGAGAGTGCTGGGGTGCCCAACACTTGTTTAAACATTGCCTTGGATGCCTCCTGGATGTCAGGACGTGGCAGAGCTGGCAGTGCCCACCCGGATCCCAGCTTTGACACCCGGGCCACCCTCTCTGCCCAGTTTCACTATCAGCTGCCAGACTTCTGTGCCTTGTGGAATTTCTCTGCATCTGCAGAGAGAAAACTCATGCCTGGTGGTTGCAGGCGAAGTTCAGAACAGGTAGTAGTAGTGGTTTGTACCAGGCTGAGTGCCTTTTCCAGCTGGTGATTTGTGCTGCTGGGAAAGCGCAGGGTTTTTAATAAATACAGGTATCACCTAGCTGCATCCAAGTATGAATGAGACTTTCCTAACCACAGAAGCAGAGTATCTGAGGAGTCCTGCTGTGCAGGAAAGTCTTCATGAGAAGCTGGACCAGCAAAGGTGTTCCCTTTCTGTCCTCACCGCTCTAGCATGGCTCACGGAAGCCGCTGTGCTGAGAGAGCGGCCCGCAGGAGCAGGGCAGAGCAAACCTCGCATCTAATGGACTTGTCCTCTTTCGATGTCTTGTTTGGCTCTCCAGCATCACTCACCTAGGTCCCGGAGATGAGCCCTAGAGGCAACCTTGTCAGGGATGATAGCTGGAGTTGAATTTACCACTGTTTTATGCAGCAACTTTATTCAGCTCCAGGACCGGTTTCCTGGAGTTTCCATAACAGAAAGGCAATGTGGAGCTGCAGCCTTCTTACCAATTCCTCTGACACTTTGTGGCTGGCCAGCTTGTGCCTGTCATCTCATCCGACTGTGTTTTCAGTTACTGCTGCCTTCCATTCTCACTGCTGCGTTTGCCTTGCTCAGGCTGGGTAAATGAGCCTCCGTTGCCAGTGTCATTTTTGTCTGAGCAGCGTGACCGTGAGGGTTGATGCCTGTTTAAGGGGGAGCAGTGCTTCTCCTCAGCTGCAATAGGTGAACACTTGTGCCACTGATCTAACTATGTATTTTGTGATTGTGGTTTCTCTGTTTGACCGTGGACCTTTTCCTGGCTCTTCTGTTTCTTTCCAGACTTAAGCCCTTTTTTCAGAAGCATCCTTCTGATTAGATGAATGTGCACCATGTCTATGCTGTAATATGTAAGCTCCGTAACTGCAGAGGTTAAGATCACCACTTTCGAGTGAGTTTTTGGTATTTTTAATTCCTTTGGCCTGTGTAATAGAAAACAAAGAAAAGATATGCTGAAAGCGAATTTCCTATGAGCACCCATGGGGATAAAATATATTTGCAGGATGGCTGAGGTGTGTCTCCGTATGGAAAACTGCAACTTTGAATTTCTTGATTTGTGGAATTAAATCCTATCTGTCAATACATACTGATGTGTATGTGAATGCTTAGCATGTTCTTATGGGCCCTGGAATAAACAGGGGAAGTACAGTCCATTAGCACCTCAAGACTGTCTTAATTCCTTGAGTGCATTTCTTCTTGAAAATATTTACTCCCTCTGTTTTGCTCCGGCTAGAGGTTGTTCGCGATGGCTCTCGCAAAGGCCCGCCGTGTGCCCGCTGCATCTTTTTTAGCCATCTGTTGCCATCTGGTGGCAACGGTGCTGAGCCGCCCGCCTCCTGCGAGATGGCTTCCAGCGGGCAGTGTGTGCCCTGCTGTCTGTAACTAGGGGCAATCTGGTAGCAAACACATGGCAAATTCGCAAATTACTTGTCTAACCATCTGCCTTCTCTTATCCAGTGCTGCCATAATCTACCGTCACCATTTTTCGGATACCAAAATGCATTAAAAAATGCATATGCTGCATTTGGAAGCTAAAAAAACCCAAATGAATACTGCTATTATTTTTCAGCTTTTGTGCCCTTAATTTCCCTGATGTAATATCTACCTTTTCTCTATTTTTTTTTTTATTAATTTCACTTCTGCTTCCCCCATGCAGGCCCTGCAGCCATCGGAGCTTCCTGCAATCAGACGTTGCATTTATGCATGCGATTCTGTGACAAAGATTTCAGTGAAAACCTTGTATTCCTCACTCTGTCAAAACTATTAGGTATTCTGCTCACTTGTAACACGGCTGTATGATACCACCCTGCCAAAAAGACTTATCTGCAGTAGTATTTATTCACGGCTGACTTCCTTCAGGTTGGAGGGGGCAGAAGCCCTCGCAGCACTCATTCCTGGTATACGAATGGAAGGAGCGATGCCCAAAATTCAGGTAGTGGAGAGTTCTGCTCCTTTCCAGTCGATACGAATGAGACCTGGTCTGCCAGGTTAGCGCGGTGGGAAGCGGGTTTGTCTGAGGTCAGGGCGGGGGGCGGGAGGCTCACAAACCAAGCCAGAAAGCTTGGAGTGGAGACAGATGTGAAAAGGGTTTTTCTGTGTGGGAATAAAACATTTGTCCAAAAAACCCTTTGAATACTCTGAAGGCAAAAAAAAAAATACCCTTCTTAGCAATGGATCAAATTCAGGCACTCGGTATAGCTTGTCCCCTCCCCTCGGTTTTTCACCCTGGTCATGACTGGTCACATTCCCCTGTTAACAACAAGCAGCATTCACTTCTCTGTCCATATTTAACCGCAGCAGCTCAAGTTGCCTTGATTTTTTTGGGAGGCTGCCAGTGAGCGTTGCTCGCAGCCAGGCTGTCGCTCCCCAAAGGCCTTCTCCAAATACCTGCTCCTGCCTCTTCCAGCGTGAGCTCTGACTTCCAGCCAGCGAGGCCGAGCTGGCTCTCGGGTCAGGGGGCTGTTCACAGGTCAGCCCAGCTGCAAGAGAAATAACCCACATGGAGGCTGCAGACTTTCTGGGGCTCGTATGTGTTCTGCATCCTGCTGACTCCAAGCAGCTAGACCTTTTTTGGTGGGGGGACAGAAACTTATGTTACCCAAGAGCTATAATTTGCCAAAGAGCATGATGACGCTCTCCTCCATCTGTTTCGGAGTGAACCTGTCAGCCCTGTCTTGGGTGGACCCTGAGAGGATCCATCCGGAGGGGCATTGTCAGCATTCCCGCAATGCCTCTGTGCAATTGTATCTCTGCTGGGCATGGCAGCTGCCCGGCCCGGGATAAAGGCTGGAAGCAGCCAGCCGCTTGTTTGAAATAAGATAGCTGCAACAATGGGAGCTGCTGGCCGAGGCACAGGCCAGGAGCAAGGCCAGAGTTATGTAGCTGGAGAGTTTTTACTGGAGGATAAATGTAAATGCAGAGGCTGAATGCTGAGTTAGTGGAGGGGGTGGGTGAGGGGGAGTGATTTAGAAAAAAAAATTATAATAATAAGAAAGGTATCCAGCACGAAACGTCAAACCAGCTGGCAGACAGCACAAAGGATATCCATAAGAAATAGAAAGTACGTCTGGTGTCACCCGGAGGCAAAGCTAAGAAAGGTTTTTGTGGGGAATGTTTTCTGGAAAAGGAAATTTGGAGCAGTGTGTAAGAATGGCTGTGGCAGGTCACCTAGTCCAATGTCTCCAAACAGCAGGTCCCTAGGGAAAAGTGCAAGAACAGGGCAAGCATTTAGCAGTATTTCCTCAGGACACTGTCCCAGCCTCCTGTGACTTGTGACACTGGGACTTCTGTAACAGGCTTCTTGGTGCTTTTTTATTTAATAGCGTGAAATGAATTTATCAAACTGATTTTTCTGAATACATACAAACTTCTGGCAACCAGAAACTCCTGCGGCACTGAGTTCCACCACGGACGTACTGTGTGAAGAAGTGTCTTGTTTAAGTCTGCCAACTCAAGTTTCCCTCGATGCCCTCTGCTTTTTTTGCACTGGAACAGTGAGTGAATTGAAATCTGCCTTCTCCAGACCACTTGTGGTTTTACAGACCCTACCAAAGTCCTTTCTCTCTCTGGCTTCTCTTCCAGACTAAAGGTTCATACTATCTATCCGTTCCAGGTACGAAAGCCACTCTGTACCATGGATGTCATTGCCACTTTCTCCTGGGCCTTTTCCAAGTCTCCTTTTGAAACCAGAGGACCCGAATGGCAAAGAGCACTCAGGACACCATGGATTTATAGCAACATCTTTCCTGTTTGCTTCATCTCTTTTCCTAGGAACTGATGGACTGACTTTTCTCATGCTGCTGGGCACTTCATAGAACTATTTGTCTCCAGATTTTGTTCCTGAGTGGTATTAGTGAGCTCAGAGGGACTCATCTAATCTCTCTCTCTCTCTCTATTTTTTTTTCTTCACAGTTGGTTGTTTTCTTTGCTAGCCTGAATAATTGAGTATTATTACCAAACACCTCACTTTTCACCCCTTTTCCAGGTGATTTATAGCAATAATGATCAAGCACTAGCGTGCCCTGCAAGAATCCATTGGACCTGCCCTGCTATAGAAACCAAACATACATTCATATTGTTTGCCTTTCACAGTTCAGTAAGCCTATAGGTATCTATGGGAGGGTTTTCCCTCTTACTTCAGGTTACTTAAGTTAGTTAACAGCTTTCAACAGGGGGACTCTACCGAGTACCTTCTGAAAATCCCCGTAGATTCAAGGAGATGGATCTCTCTTGAACGTATTTGTGCACTTCTTCAAAGATTTCTCATCCATCTGTGAAGGAAAGGGAGCAGCCTCATCCCAGTGTGCCGTCTGTATGCTGGTGAGAGTGCCTCAGAAATAAGTGACTGTGATCTGTTTTCCCTTAGGGAAACAAAATCCTGAACCTGGCAAATTGCTCTGGTCAAAAAAGATGACGCACAGCTTTGGGTCTCCAGCTCGGGAAGTTTCTGAGATCTCACAGAGATGTTCAGTTACTCTACAGATAATCCTCTCTTATCTTTATTTATATATTGATTTGTTTATTAAGTCACAGATCACATTGCCACTTAGAAAAAAATGACCTTCTGTAAACTGCAGAAGATACTTGACTGGTGAAACACATTGTGCCCCCCTTTCCAACCCGGCGGCGCAGTGGCCCTCAGCTGTCATTCCCCAAAACAGGTGCTGTAAATGAATACCGCGGTGGTTATATTTTGCCAGCACCCTGGCGGGAGGCTGGACAGCCCTCTGAAGAGATCGTAAAGGCACTTTGTGCGTGCATCCATCTGTATGACTGCAACAAGAAGGAACCGGGATGATGAAGGTCCATCATGTACTACTCCTCATCTCCGCAGGTAAAGGTGTTCCAGTCATTGCCTTGAACGGGGGGTTGGCTCCCTCCTGAGCGTGCAGGACCAGGGCTTTGTGTATACATCGGTATGAGCGAATGTGTGTTCTGGGAGCAGCCTGTCCTGCTGATAAGGTTTTATGAGCACACCAAGTCATTTAAATGAGAGGTTTGGAGTGCATTGGTAACAGCTCAGATATTTGTCATTTCAGACATCAGATATTTTGAAGCAAGAAGTTTTTGTGTTTAATTGTTTTTCTCTCTGTCATCTCTTTGCCATGCTGCCATTTACTCTAGTGCTACATGTATTTCAAAATGTGTGAAAGAATCTAGTAAACATGGCTTGAAATGTAAAAAGTCAGTACAAGGAATTTCATTAAGCTGTGGGACTACTGATAAAGACGCAGAATTGATTTGCAGCTGCATGTGTTGTACCAGGATAATTCTTTTTAAACTGTCCCTTAAAAGAATAAGTATTTTGTGATCCTAAACATTTTTCACCAAATTCAAGCAGTATACTAAATTCCTACCAAGCCACACCAGAAGGTAGCAATGTGAAGGATTTTAATTGGATTAATAAAGCATAGCAAAGAGCTTGACTTAAATACAATGCTGTGATCATAATTTAAAAATTGAAAGATGACTCCTGCCCACCCCAGCCCAGCTTCCTGGCAGGGGAAGCAAGCAGTGCTTGTCTGTGGCAGACAGCTTTTCTCAACGGCATCCAAGTATTTTAATACCATCTCATGGCAGGACAAGGCTGAGACAGAATCCTTGGCATCTCAGCTCAACTATATAAAAGGAGCTGATGAAAAGTCACTTAGGAGACATGGGGAAATCCTGGCTTAGGTTGGAGTCAGCAGCAAAATTCTTGTTGACTTCAGTGGCCCAGGATTCAAACTGAGAGAGGGGAAAACAAGGATGGGATCTGGCAAAAATGCTTGCGGCGAAGCTCAGCTGTTCTGTTCCCTCTCACTACCTTTAAAAGGGTAGTGCAGGTAGTCTGCACTTAATTGTCCACAAGTATTGCATGTAAGCACAGCTGCAGGTTGGGAGAGCCTGGAGGAGATTCCTAATGCTCAGTCTGATGTCCATGATCATGGGTATTTGCTATCTCCTGGTTGGAGGCGGCTGTTGCCTTACTCCTAAGCTGACCACCAGATCAGATAGGTTGTTACCCCTGCTGACAGCATTTGCAATGCACACAATGCACGCCTGAAATGAGGAGTCACACAGAGGACTCGGTGTTCACCTGCTGCCAGCAGCTTGCTGTTGACGGTAATTCCTTCATGCCCACCTCAGAGCGATGGTGCTGCAGCGTGTCCCCTGTCCCATCTCACTGACGCCACCCCTGCTGTTCTGCAGCTGGGCTGGCCCTGTGCTATGAACACGAGACTCGCCTCGTCGAGGACTTGTTCAAGGACTACAACAAGGTGGTGCGCCCAGTGGAGGACCATCGGGATGCCGTCGTCGTCACCGTTGGGCTACAGCTCATTCAGCTTATTAGCGTGGTATGGTATGAACATGTGGCACATGTTGAACCACTGGCTTATGTGACAGTGCCAAACAGTGTCATTTTTCTGAGGAACCATTTTTCTCCTTTAATCCTGATGTTTGCTGCTACTGCCTCCTTTTCTTTCTTTTCTTATTTTTTAAGGATGAAGTAAATCAGATTGTAACAACCAACGTACGCCTGAAACAGGTAACCCTAAATATTGCTAACCATTTCATCCGATTCAAATAAGTGCACTGGACACAGCCAGGAACCAACTACTCTGTTATACTTTCAGGGGCAACTTGGACAAGTGGGTCAGCTAGGAGAGTATTCCTTCTTTCTGGGGTCTCAAGAACGAAATGCACTAGACAATAAAAGCCTTAAGAAAAGCATTTTGCATTGTATTTCAAACAGTAGACTTCTGGTATACTATCTTTTATATTGTTTTCTATTTTTTTAATAAGCAGCTTAAACCAAAATTTAAGTTGATGCAAAAAAAAAAATTAGCTGGGGGTCCCACTAGCATATGTTTATGCTTACCTGCATGTCCCAAAGCAAGGGAGGTGCATGTTTCTAGGAAGTACCAAAACTACCCCCAGAAGTACTGGAAGAGGCTCTCAGTGGCTGAAATCCTCCCTCTTTAGCAATGGACAGACGTCAACCTCAAGTGGAATCCAGAGGACTACGGTGGCGTGAAAAAAATCCGCATCCCCTCAGATGATATCTGGCGGCCTGACCTTGTTCTTTACAACAAGTAAGGGGTGCCAGCTGCCCGGGGAGGGAGGGGTAGCTCTGCCCCGTGGCACCACTATGGTGGGGCTGCTTTCCCATGATGTCTGGCCCAGTGGGTAGCATGCCTCAGAGCAAGCTTTTCCAGGAGCAAGAGCGATGGCACTGGGGGACCAGTTGAGCCACAGCCAGAGAAATCCTTTTGTGACTATGTTAATTATGCTGCCCATATTGCTGTTAATGTCCTTGTTCCTTTTGCAGCGCAGACGGTGATTTTGCCATTGTTAAATACACCAAAGTCCTTCTGGAGCACACAGGCCTGATCACCTGGACACCACCAGCTATTTTTAAAAGTTACTGTGAAATTATAGTCACGCACTTCCCATTTGACCAGCAGAACTGCAGTATGAAGTTGGGAACTTGGACGTATGATGGTACAGTGGTTGTTATTAACCCGGTAAGCAAGCAGTTTGTAATTGGGAAAAGCAGGAAAGACCTGGACATTTTTTTTTTAGGGAAATCTCAGATTTAGAATGGAATATAACCTTGGTTTGACTGACAAGCAGGTACTACCTGTAAAATATAAAAGCCCTAATTGTAGATCTAGCACAAAATTTCCTGGTTTGGCTTCTAAAATTCTGCATATGCATAATTCCTGTGCCCTGACAGTCTCCTACCTGTCTATCCTCTGACAGCTTCACACCACTCATGGTGCTGCCTGTTCTGCTTTTGTTTGTTTTCTTTTTTGGTTTTGGTTTTGATGGGGGGGGGGGCAACACACACTTTTTCTCTGCCCATGACTTTCCATTTCCAAGGACTCTTTCCTGTCCCCTCAGGTTTGTCTCTTATCTGTAAATATTTAATCAGTCTTTCTCTTTAGTTGACTATCCCTGACTGTTTCTGTAAAATATTTAGTTGAATGCTGTGTAGAGGGTGATATTCTAAGGCAAAATAACATGGACAAGAGTGGTTTGCTCACAAAAATGCACGAAGTGCCTGAGTTATTGGGAATCCTGTTCCTGATCGACTGCCAAGTTTTGATTTTGTTCAAAACATCTAATAGTAAGAATTTGGGGTTTTCTCCTGTCAGGAGAGTGATCGTCCAGATCTGAGTAACTTCATGGAGAGCGGAGAGTGGGTGATGAAGGACTACCGCGGCTGGAAGCACTGGGTTTACTACGCTTGCTGCCCTGACACCCCCTACCTGGATATCACCTACCACTTCCTCATGCAGCGCCTGCCTCTCTACTTCATCGTGAACGTCATCATTCCCTGCCTGCTCTTCTCCTTTTTAACTGGGCTAGTTTTTTATCTACCCACAGATTCAGGTACGCAAACTTATGCATTCTAATTGCTCTCCTAACAAGTTTCTGAGATCTTCTGAGTATTTGAAATGACCAGCCAACTTAAAGGGCAGCGTGTACTAAAACTGGACATTTCTGCTCAAAATAATGGTTCTAAACATTCTGCAAAAAAAGGGTAAGCGCTGAAAGCTGAAACTATTGATATAAATAAATTGGGGTGATGTCCCACAGAAGTCACTGCTTAACTATCCAGTTAACTTCTGCAAAACAAAGATTTAGCTAGTTATGTTTTGCTGTAGGTAGGTAGTGTGTTAGTACGTCATGCAGTAAGTGAGCACACGAGGGGTGAGTGAGGCCCTTCAGCATGGTGTTAGAGCAGAGAGCTTGTTGTCTGTTCACAGAAATTACCTCCTGTGACACAAAGAGTAATCCTGGACTCTTCTGGCCTCCTTTGTACCTGCTTGAGCCTCTTGCTCCCTGCAACCGTTTCCTCTGCCTCATTCGTTTTACCTTGTGTCAGCTTTTCATACTGCTTAATTTCATTAAGCCCCTGCCCCTTCCATGAAATACTTGATGTATTTTATTTCAGTTGAACTGGATAGAAAAAAGATGTGCGAGTCATGTTTTGTGGTTTGGTTTTGACATCCTGCATACTGGAAGATCTCAAATAGCAACTGACCTCTGGTGTCAGATGTGATTTTTGCCTGCCTGCTCAGCCCAGCATGAGCCTGCCGGAGAGTAAGGCAAGCGGACGCCCAGGGGGCTGTGGAGCGAGCATTAATCAGGTGCATATATTTTATTCAAAATGCACAGCCCATGCAGCTCCTGGCCAGTAAGCTTTCCATATCCGTCACCCATACCTCAGCCCAGTCATACCTGGTGATCCCCACCTTAATGCTGGAGCTGATGCTGTTAGGCTCTAAGGTTTGGCCCGCCTAGTTACTGCTTTGGATGCTGGGAGAGGTGATAGCACTCCAGGTGCACACACATGCACACGTGTGAATAGTGGTCATCCACATCCTATCTTCTCAAATAAATACTCTCTATACTGAATGATAGGAACAGCAATGGGGTTGTTTTGTTGTTGTTTTTTTTTTCATGGTAGGTGAGAAAATGACTCTCAGCATCTCTGTCCTGCTGTCTTTGACTGTGTTCCTTCTGGTCATCGTGGAGCTGATTCCCTCCACCTCCAGCGCAGTGCCTCTGATAGGCAAATACATGTTGTTTACAATGGTGTTTGTCATCGCTTCAATCATCATCACGGTCATCGTCATCAACACCCACCACCGCTCCCCAAGCACTCACACCATGCCGCACTGGGTCAGGAAGGTGAGCTCTGTGGCTTTGCATGTTTCCTGGCTTCCACTGAGCACTCCATGTTTTATTGGCAGGTTTTCTAATAAAAGTCAACAAGAATTGGGGAAGTAAATGCATCACATTAAATCTCTCTAGGCACAAAAGCCAGCGTTTACTACTTAGGTGTGCATAAATTCAGCAAGACTGCTAAGGTACTCCTCTAAGTAACAAAATTGTCCACTGGGGTAGAGTCTTGCAGGGAACAGATGAGGCAAAACACAGGCAGCTGAAGGTACAGGGGAAAGAAAATGGGCCAGCTGGACTCAGATTACATTTCCTGGTCTAATTCTCCACCTGACTGCAAAACACTGCTGCCTGCCAGTGGCCGAGTTCACCAGGCCGTGTGAGCGCAGAGCACAAAGGCCGTTGGGGATACCTGCGTTCAGCACCCCATTTCGAAAAAGAGAGTTTAGCGAATGCCATGATCTTCTCTGTACTTTTCCGATAAATACGGTTATTCTGCAGTCCTTGGGAAGCAAGGAGATCCTTGCACACTAGTCTAAATGGTAACCACGAGATGTAGAAAAAATTGGATGTCTGTCATTACAAGTTCTTTGTCAGGGACACAGTACCAAAACGGATCCATTCAGTTACTCTTGACTTTTTTAAGCCTGCCTGGGTTCATATTAAACCATGACATGAATAGGACATTGTTCTGGGTATTTCTAATTATACTTTTAAGGCTACAGCTTACATCAGATTCATTCTGCAGCATGAACAATCCCTGCAGAAGAGACATTTCAACAGGCAAACACTGCATGCCCTTAAAATTGCTCTGGCAGCAAGTCTCTGTTATTCCAAAGGAAATTATTGTAAACCTTATATGCATGTATAACAAACATTTGTAATAGCAAAGTCAAACATAAGTAGGCAAAAGAGATCCTTTGTAGTCCATTCTTCAAGCCAGATTTGTAAGCATTAGAATTAGATGAGGGTCTGCTCCAGGACATAGCACCCTCCTTCATGTGTAGACATTGGCTATATGGCAGGAGGAAATGGTTTCCAGAAAATGTGTGACGGGCCTGCGGGTGACTCCATCTGCCCCAGGACATGAGGCTGACAAAGCCCCAGTGTGACTAAGGCGCAGGCTGTGACATACTCCAAGAGGGAATCTGTAGCCGATCCAGCATGGGAAGCGATTTGGGACTGGAGAGGCTTGCCTTTGTTCAGTACGCAGCTGCATCTGTAGCACAGCCCCGCCGACCAGCAACTGTCGTCTTCTCCCTCTTTGTTTTCAGATCTTTATTGACACAATCCCAAACGTCATGTTTTTCTCTACAATGAAACGACCTTCCAGGGATAAACAAGACAAAAATATTTTTGCAGAAGACATTGATATTTCTGAAATTTCTGGGAAGCCAGGTTCTGTGCCTGTCAACTTCTACTCCCCGCTTACCAAAAATCCAGATGTGAAAAATGCTATAGAGGGAATCAAATACATTGCGGAAACAATGAAATCAGACCAAGAAGCCAGTAACGTAAGGCATTTTTTTGTGCATGATTCATTTCTTGCTTTCAAATTGCTACTTTTTTTTTTTTTTTTTTTGGCAAAATATCCACATCTCACAAAAACACTCCAAACCCTGTTTTGGCTTTAGCAGGGGACAGTTTTCTCCCCTTGATGCAGTCAACAAGGAGTGACAGATAATAGTTGCAGATCACAGCTGTATCTTGGTAAAAAAAAGTGGCAGTGCTAAGATTTTCTAAATGTGGTATGTGAAGCCATAGAGATGGAGCGTCTGTGAGGAGCAAAGCAGTTTCAAGAGCTGTAAGCAAGTTCCAAAACACATTCCTCCTGTCTCCCACTCAGGCATCTTCCCCCTGTGGTAAGCAATCTCCTGTCGCTTTTGAAAAGCCAGGAAGCAAGCCAGACTCCAAAAGGCCAGTAGTTTTACCTGAAAAGTGTTAAATGTGACTTACAAATGATAATTCCAAATTCAATAAGGTTTTGTTTTATTCCCGAATGCTACAAGTAGTCCCTGCAAATGAAGCACGTCATGAGCTACTGATTACTGACTTTTTCCACGTTGCAAGCCAAAGGAAGGATAAATGTGTGTAGAGTCACATATGGCAGTGTTCCCCTGGAAAACCTAGCTCTGCCTCCTTCTAGCACATTCAATGCAATTAACCCCCTCTTTTATTTCAGTTATCACAGCTCACACAGCTCTTGCACGGATATCCTGCTGAGCTGCAGGCTAGCCTGGCGATGGGGAGAGAGTTCTCTGGGACAATAATTTGGCCCGTGCTCTTGAAAAGGAGACGCCTCCTTCCCACAGGCAGAATTTACACCACGGTGTTTGTTCCTGTGACCAAATTCCTGGAGCATGTGGAATGGCTCTGGCTGTAGTCTCATGTTCCCCGTGACTCCTATGCCTTTCTGCAGATAAAGCGTTACCTTCAGCAGAGCTGGCGTGGCTTCGGCATCTCTGGGCTTCGCTTCCTCCTAGACTTACAAGGAGGGTCTTCGGGTTACTGGCAAGTGCTCCCTTCGGAAGTAGAGCCCAGCTGCTTGTGTCATCTGGGCACTGTTGATATCACTTCCAGGGGGTTTCAAAAGCCAAGTTCCCCAAATAAACTGAAGGTTGTGGCTTCTGAAGGCTGGCACTTCATTGCATTCACTTATGAACCACCTCAAAACAGTACTGATTATCAGTGTCCTCTAGATAAACTACAACAGCCTCTTCTACTTGTGGGGCAACTAAGGTGAAAGTAGAGGGTGCCTTAGGCCAGTACGTGTCACTCCGTAAGGCAGAGTTACAGGGTGGAAATTAAATTAAAGCTTTTCAACATTTCTTTTTAATGAAATTGTTCACCAAATCACCAAGGTTTCTAAACAGTTTAGTCTTGAAACTTGCATTTCTAGGTTGCTTAGGCTTTCTGAGCCACTGACCTGCTCTCCAGAAGAAAACGAGTATTTTTTGCATAATAACAGCAGAACTTAAGGGAAAACCTTTCTGTTGTTCAAGACAGTAAATTACAAGAATGCCCATAACAAACACGGCTCTACAGAGATTTTACCGTCTCTTTTGTTTCTTTCCCAGGCTGCAGAAGAATGGAAGTTTGTTGCGATGGTGGTTGATCATCTTCTCCTTGGCATATTTATGCTAGTTTGTATTATAGGAACATTAGCTGTATTTGCTGGTCGCCTTATTGAATTAAATCAGCAAGAATGAACATCAGCTGGAAACTATTTGCTACCCTGGTCAGCATCTGAAAGCATCTTAACCATCAAAGCCTGGCCAGCCTCCGAAAGTTTCACGGACAGGAATCGGTCCCTGCTGGGGAAGCGCAGAGATACTAAAGCGTAAGGCTCCATACTTAGCACTGCTGAGCTGCTGCTCAGCGGCATTTCATTGCCAAAAAGAAACAGTTGTGTTACTGGTAGACCGAATGGCTGTCAGCCAGGTTTTGATCCATTTTACCATTTATTAAAAATGTTAATGTATTAATAAGACCGTCTGACTTTGTAACCCACAGATACAATTCCAGTGAAATCAATAGCAGTGTAATAAGCTTTAGCTGAGCTGTAAATCTGTATCTGACTTTAGCATTCAAGCTGGTTTCAATATCTGCTCTGTGGTTTTTGTATTGGCAGAGTCACAAATGACTCCTCTTTTAACACCAGATGTAACCAGCAGAAATATCTCAAACTCTATGCTTAAGCACTTGATTTTCATGCAGAAATCTGAAATGACTGTCATATGTGACTCTACCTGTAGAAACTCTTGGTGCAGCAAAGAGGAGGGACTGTTCCTTACTGTGGGAAGGAGCCAGCCTCAGCCAGTTAGGTCCCACAAGTATTTTTTGCTATCAAGTCCCATGGTAAAGGACTTATAGAGGAGGATTTTTTTTTGCCCTGTTTTATCACCGAGCCCTGCTCTGTGACCATCAGGCACCCCAGTGACTATGTTGCAGTCGCTGCCCTCTTACTTTAACCTGTTAATACTTATTATAAGAAGCCCCACATTCATTATGTATTAATGCTCAGGATTTTCAGTTGTAAACAGAGGTGTTCTGCAATTGCATCCTAAGAGAAAAGTTTAGGCCAGAGGGGAAAGGATGGTATCCATAGGTTAACCTCTGTACTCAGCCTACTCTGTTCCGGGAAGGTTGGTTTCCACTCTCCATTTTGAGTGATGACTAATGTGGGGGCAGCTTCAAATTTGGGAGTGCTCAGTATGGTATCTTAAACACAATTCTCTCTGTTCCCTGAAAACTGTCACCTGCCCGGCTCAAACAGACCATGAGCATTAAAGCTAGGGACAGCATTACAAAGATCATTCCTAGGGAAAGTGTGGATCTCAGTTTTACTTAGGTATGACAAAATGACAGGACAGCTCCTCCTCTGAGCACCACAAATAATTACCCCCACTTTATCCAAATGTTGAGCAGCAGCTCGCTCTAGTGGCTAAAACAAAGTAGTGCTGCTTTTGGCCAAACGCCTTTGGGGTTTAGTAAATACTCAACGTAAGCAACAAGCCTATGTGTGTTTCAAGAATACAGCGTGGAAATACTAGCAGTGCTGCCTGTTTTTCTCAAAAATAAATAAGGAGAGGTGGGGCAACTGATACGAATTACTCATCCTTCCCAGCTGGTTGTCCAAGCCAATAGGACTACTTTGCTAACAGCTGTAAATAGTTTGCTGTGAGTTTAATAAAATAATTTGTATTATGTTAATGCTCTACAGGAACGTGTCACGTCTGCAGAGAACAGGCATTTGAAATGCTCTATAGGGAAAATTAGGCACTTGTGCAATACTTCCATCATTGCGTAGTGTTTGCTGGACAATGTTTTGGAGAACTGTAGTCCTAAGCAAAGCAAACAGTTTGTCTGGGGCAATCGATCGCTTCTAACGCTCTGCACAGCTCTTGCCGTTTAGAAGATGGTGATCTTTGCCTCCCTCGATGATCATTAACCCTGTAAACGATTGCTGAAGATGTATGCTGGGTGAAACCTCTGCTGACAGATGGAGTGCTTGCTGCAGCTCTGTTTATCGTCAGCTCTCCGCCCTTGGAGGGAGTCACGCAGCTCCCCGGCTCACGATGAGCTAAGCTGCAGCGTAACGGTGCCCAGGACTTAATTTGGGAGACTGTGATTGGCACTAAAATTGACAGAACAATCCTCTTAGAGCAGCATGTGGTTGAATCTTAGCATTAAAAATAAACATCAAGTAACAAGATTCATGGTGAGCATCCACAGTACCTTTGTTCAGCTTCCTCAAGCCAGATCTGGGTCTTGGCCTCCAAATGCCACCTATTTGTGTGCCGGGGTGCGTGCGTGCACACGCGTGCCTGCCTGCTTGCTTCTCCAGCTCCAGCTGTCTTCATACACAGCTAGCTACCACATTGCAGTGTTCTCCTTCCACTTCCTCCGAAAAAGTTTTGAAATTATTTATTTGAAAATTTTTATTTGTGATAGTTCGATCTGTCTTATGGGCAGGGCAAATCTTGTGCCTTCCTATCTCTCTGAGTCCTGATGAACAACTCGTGTCTCAAAAGATGTGACACACCGGGCAAAAATAAATGCTAACAGCTTCCCTTCTTCGGCTGCAGAATCTGGGCATTGTACTCTGACTCTCCAAACAGATGGTCCTCCAAACATCAATAAGCACACTTCAGGAGACAGTTCATCTGCATCTTTTTTTTGCTTTGCTTTGAATATTCAGACTGTCCCAGTCGTCTTTATTTTCTATTCCTAGTTCACCTTTGTGATACATTTTTCTTGCGTATCACCAACATCCCCTGTTACCAGTGTCCATCTACTGAAAGGGAGTAAGTAGCCTTACCTCCATACAGACTTTTCTTCTCATCTGCTACTGTCCTTTTAACATGTCGGCAGATCTGTACACCTGCGAAAATAGCAGCTTTGGAGGTTGTAAATGTGCTGTCTCAGTCACTGTCAAAGATAATTTGCTGTCAATGTCTAAGTACATATTGTCTAATGATTTCTCACTGACAGCACTGTAGTCTCTCCCTGCAATCTTAACACTAAATTCTCCTCTCTCCTCTGTGGGTAGCACCAGCAGCCCCAGGGAGATGGCCCTGGATAATACTCGTGCGACTCACACATGCATCTCTGCTCCCTCAGTGCCTTCAACAGGCAAATTTCGGCTCTGAGCTTCAACTAACAATTCTCATGATAAGCAAAACAAGAAACAGGCCTCACACTCATTGTTAAATTCCTCTAATAAGTGTAAAAATTAGTGAAATGCAAACACTGTGGTGCTGAAGTAAGCAGACCTCATTTAAATGAAGGCAGACCAGGGGCCTCTGGGTGAGATGGTGCCACTTTTATAGTGATAGTACCCTGAGCAGTTAACTTGTCCCTCTTTTAACTGCCCCCTTCTTGCTATTAAAGCTGCTTCTGTTCACTTTGAGCTTGTTGATAACACCCTATTTATGTGCTTAATAGGATAGCTCTCTGGAATGTCTCCATCTTCTTCCGTCTGATTCTCTTTCCAATTTTTAAACAATTTGGCAATTAACTTTCCCCTTCCCATCCCTTTAGCTGACCTTCAGCCTCTTTCTACTGTGCCATGGATATTTTCCTCCCAGAGATGCAGTCACCCCCAAATCTCTTTCCCCTTTGCCACTTGCACTGTTCAGGAGACCTGACCCTACTGAGGGGTTATTTGAATTTTTAAAGTCCATTACCTCGTACCAGCTCCAAGGGAACAATTTCACCTCTGCCTGAGTCTGTAATCAGAACAGGCTGCTGCTCTCTATCATCACCAGGCAGATGAACTAAACTCGATGGCCTTATTCTGTCTATTCAGGCAGTTGGATCTCAGCTTTGTAAAACGTAGTTGAGCTGATCAACAGAGTGAGCAGAAAAATGACATTCACCGAACTCTAAACGCTTGATCGTGAGCTCGCGTATGCCAGGTGTGATCATTCACCTGCAACTAGTGCTCGGGTCCTGAAGCCTCCTTCAGTTTGAGAGTTTTTAAGAAATCAGATTATTGTTTCAGGCAATTGTAAGACAATTTACGTACTCATTTTTTTGTCCAGGATATAAGTTGCTGTGGCCATCTCCCCAGAGATGTGTGAAAGCAGTGTGAGTTTCATCAGCATGCTGACTCAGCAGTTCCTGTTGCCACAGCTGAAGCAAACCACAGTGGGTAGGGACAGCAGGGCGAAAGAGTATGTGTAACACAGGACCCGCGAAGTGCATAAACACTGTGCTGCTATTGGAGAAAGGAAGCACATTACCTCCCTGAAAAGTTTGTTTTCTGGTATGGTGGTATGCGAGATGTCACCTTTAAAGTCACCGATAGTTTGGCACATCAGAAATGCTTCTGACTTTGGACACTTTGGAGGTTGCTGTGCCTGAATCCAGTCACAAGACCTCACATTTTCATATGTTTACTAGTGCTAGATAAAGTCTAGCACAGCCTCCAGGCCCCTAGGCACGCTCCTGGGTATAAATTCCCTCCCTCTTTCTCTTCCTGAAAAATTGTGAAATTGGTACGAAGTCTCCCAAGCTTCTCTCAGATGAATGTTGCACAGACAGTGATTTCTAACAAAGTTCTGGAGTACCTTCTCCCTTTCTGGAAATCAAAGCCCAACTACAGATGGGGCAATCACACACTGCTTTGCAAAAGATTCTCTGAAACAATCGTACTTCAGTCCCTGCTAAAGTATAAAAGACTGGTAGAGATATGGAAGACAGCCAGCCTGCAAGCAACCATATCCACGCTCATTGAGAGAGCTCTGCTGAGTTCTGCTGGCTGTAGGTGGGTTATCTACAACAAGGACAGGACAATTTCATGCATTACCATGTGACAGGCCAGACTGACTAGCAGGCAAGAGTCCAAAGGAGTTCGTAGGCTACTGCAGCGCAGCGATGATGGGTCACTCGGTGGATTCCCCATAAAGGGAGCACTCTTTCCTAGCAAGGGTTGTCACTGTTTCCCATCATCCCAGCACAGACCTCCCACTGCAGCATGTCTTCCCAACTTCTAACAGCCGAGCAGATCTGTATCAGTGTTTGCTATTTATCCCATACGGAGCCTGGAATAAACACATCACATGGTGTTTCCCCAGTACGTAGACAAGAGGAAGCTGTTTGCCTCTACGTGACTTTTCAGCTAACCAACGACCCAAACACAGTATGCTGTGCTTAGGAGCCTCATGTGGATATGTGACCCTCTTTAGGGAGCTTTAGGTCTGTA